CAATCCTCCAGCAGACAGGAAGCTCGGATGTTCTAGTATTGTGTTTCTTGGCTTAGAATGCTCATTCATATTTTAATCCTGTTCTCTGCGGTCAGGGGTTAAATATCTGCTGTGTCATTTGCCTTCTTCAACAGAAGCATCGGGCCAAACCACTACAACAAAACCCACTTTATCCTCAAGCTTTTACTACAGGCTTCATTCAAACCATACCATTAAAGGGGAAACGCTCAACAAAGCTGCAAGCCTAATCTGAAAGATCAGTTGGTGACACAGGAACCCCTATGAGCCTGTTAATTCACAACAAATGGTATTGGGATCCAGTCCACCTACAGGCAACCCCATAGCTAGATGATTTTCGTGGGGGGCTACTAGGGGGCATGACATCACTTCTGATGTCACAAAAATAATAAAATAAAATCGAAATAGAAGAGCGTGGATCAAGGGCTCTCCTAGCGCTGCTCCTGGCCAGACTGAGCAGGAGTGGTGGCAGCTCCCCCATCCAGCCTGGCCTCTCTGGTGCCACGCTGCACTGGCCATGCAACACCCCCGTCTGGCATGGTGAGGGTTGGGGCGCTGCAGATTCCGGAGGGGGCGCTGCCCCCACCACCCCTGCCTAGCTACGGCCCTGCCTACAGAACATTTTCCTTGTGGGAAGCGCTCACTCTGCAACTTTACAAGCGGCATATGATGAGAAACAATACCCTCTCAATACTTTCATCGCGTAGCTTTGTCTGGGTTGTATATGTTATTAAGTGTCCTTGTGAGAAGTTGCGTGTTGGCAAAACCATTAGGAAACTGAGAATATCCATCTTTAAAGAACAGGTCCCTTTTGGTTCAGCACTTTCTACAGCACAACCATGGTCCAACAGACTTCACATTTTGGCCTCTTTTTTAGTTCTGAATGCCATTGTGATCAAGTGATATCGAGAAAAGAAGCAGAGTGCTCAGATATGAAGCTGCCTTATACTGAATCATACCATCAGTCCATCAATGTCAGTGCTGTGTACTCAGCAGCTCTCCAGGGTCTCAGGCAGAGGTCTTTCACATCATCTACTGCCTGGTCCTTTTAAGGAGTTTGTAAGCCGCTCTGAAGGAGCTGCGGTGGCTCAAGTGGTTAAGATGCTGAACTGCAGGCTGTGGAAGGTCAGTAGTTCAGCAGTTCGAGACCCGAGTGTGCCGCATGACGGAGTGAGCTCCCGTCTCTAGTTCCAGCTCCTGCCAACCTAGCAGTTCGAAAGCAAGAAATTGCAAGTAGATAAATAGGTACCACTTCGGTGGGAAGGTAACAGCGTTCCGTGCGCCTTGGTGTTTAGTCATCCTGGCCACATGACCACGGAAACGTCTTTGGACAGCGCTGGCTCTTCGGCTTGGAAACGGAGATGGGCACCACAAACCTAGAGTCAGATTCGATTGGCTTTCGAGCAAGGGAACCTTTACCTTTACCTTTTTAAGCCGCTCTGAGACTCCAAGTGAAAGGCGGGGTATAAATCCAATCTCTTCTTCTTCTAAGTGGGGATGCTGGGGATTGAAACTGGGACCTTGTGCATGCAAAACAGAGGCTCTTCCACTGAGCCTGACAACTTTGGTCTCTCGTGGGTTAAATGAAAGTACTGAATTGCTATCGCTTATATGAGATAAAAGCAGATTCAGGTGGGTAGCTGTGTCGATCTGAAGCAGCAGACCAGTTTGAATTCAGTGGCACCTTTAAGACCAAAAACGTTTTATTCTGGGTATAAGCTTGTATGTGTGAACCTTATTCTATGAGATAAAAACCAGCCAGACCATCACATTTCTCTTTCTCAGAGTCTGCTGCTGTGGGAACTGCTTTGGCTATACAATTTTACAGGTTACTTGTGTATTTTTTTTCCTAATTGTGGAAGTTTTGTTTCCATATATTGCAACTGTATATTATCAGAGACCTTCTCATGGATTTGTGGTCCCAGATCCACTTATGCACTTTTTATATGCTCAAGTGTTGAATGTATTTTTACCAAGTCTCTTAATTCTTTTTTTTATGGTCATTTATTTTTTCTTGTTGCTTTAATTTACATTCTTATGGGCCCCCCTCTGAAGGAGTATATGTGAAACATCAGGACAGTATAACCAAATAGAAGAAGAGCTGGTTTTTATACCCCACTTTTCTCTACCCTAAGGAGTCTCAAAGTGGCTTACGATTTTGTCTTCCCTTCCTCTCCCCAGAACAGGCACCTTGTGAGGTAGGTGGGGACTGAGAGAGTCCTGAGAGAACTATGACTGGCCCAAAGGTGACCCAGCAGGCTTCATGTGGAGGAGGGGTGGGGAATCAGACTCGGTTCTCCAGGGTTCTCCAGACTAGAGTCCGCTGCTCTTAGCCACTACAGAAGCAGAAGACGCAGAAGAAGCAGCGGTGGCAGAGGCGGAGGAGATTGGATGTATACCCCGCCCTTCACTACCCAGAGGAGTCTCAGAGCGGCTTACAAACTCCTTTCCCTCCCCCTCCCCACCACAGACACCCTGTGAGGTGGGTGGCGCTGAGAGAGCTCTGACAGAAACGGCTGTTTTTCAGGAACAGCTCTGACAGGACTATGGCTTGCCCAAGGTCACCCAGCAGCTGCAAGTGGAAGAGTGGGGAATCAAACCCGGTTCTCCCAGATTAGAGTCTGCACACTTCACTACACCAAAATGGCTCAGTACACCTTGCTGGCTCTCCTTAATTCTTCTTCCCACTGCACCACTGTTCTTTTGTTTTTTGCTCCATCTTTGGTGCCCCCCTCTTTTCTTGCATTATGAACTCACAGGCGTTAAGGCCAGGAGAGTAAACCAAGGACATCAGGGACAGGAAATCTAAGCCAGAGAACCAGCAGGTAGTGAGGAACAAGCCAAAAATCAGATCCAGTGGGAGGCTGTGTGCTCCACTGCTGAAAGATCCCCTTCCTGTCCCGCTGCCCTCTCAGTTCTGCATGCAAAGCCAGATAAGGAAGTCTGCCCCCTTTGCTAGTCTCTACACTTGTGCACTAGTCTAGGTCCTTCCAAAAACTACAAAAAAAAAAAAACTGGATTGAAGAGTTAGGCACTTTAAAAAATCAATTCCAAGACTATTTGTAGAGCAGGTCCCTTTAAGAACAACTGTCACGCAGAGTTGTTCCTTTAAAAAAAACCTTCCTTTTGTTTCTGCAACTACAAAGTGGATGCATGAGATAAACGCAACTGGCTCCAGGAACAAAAAAGAGATACAGGGAGACCAACCCACACCTCTTACTAGGCACGTATTAACTGTAATACATGAGCACTGCTAAGTAAAGCAGCTGATCTATCTAGACCAACATTGTTTATGCAAGGCGGCAGTGGCTCTTCTGAACCTCAGACAGAGGTCTCCTTCCAGCCTTGTCATCACCCAAGTTTATTTTTAACCACAGGTGCCAAGGAATGGAACTTGGGACTTTCTGCGTAGGCTCTGCCCCTGAATGTAGGATTGAAATGAGCCAGAATGGAAGATCAGAGTGTGTCGTTTTAAAAAAATCTCCAGATGTCTACCACTGTCTATCACACTGCGCCTCCCACACACCTGGTAGGATTTCATTACCACAACTAATTAGCATGCTAGCTAGTAAATGAGAGCTTCCATGAATTCCATGGATTTGACTGTTATCCAGAAGCAGGAACCTCTCATCTCTTGCTAAGACTGTAATTCATTACACACACCACAGCATAAGTTTAGAATGCATACAGAACACATGAAACCAATTATATGTGGGGCCAGGATGACAAAGGCAACAATCCTTCTTTTATCTACCCAAACATACTCTTCTGAGCGGCGAAAAGAAATAATAATAAAAAATCTGATGGTACAATGCCACGAAAAGGAACGTTCCGTTTACTGCCCTTCTCTTAGCTAAAGAGAGGGTGTGCATTTGTGGAGAGAGATCTTTAAATCACCTCACCCACAGGCCTCTGTATTTCCAGCTAGGTCTGTGTGTCTGAAGGTAACTTGATTTTTGGCTGAATCAAAGTTGGACAGGTATGATTATTTCCAAGAGACTGATACCATTAACCCTGTCACTCACAGACACACACAGACTAAACTAGGGGTGGCCAAACTTGCTTAATGTAAGAGCCACATAAAATAAATGTCAGATGTTTGGGAGCCACAAGACATGAACAAATATTACATGTTTTTACTGGGAAATATGCAAATTTGCTTTTTATTAACATTAAAATGGGACTGCCAAAATAACAAAGGCGATAAAAGCAGATATTGATAATGATATTTATTTCTCCAATGATATTTGTTTGCTAATGATATTCAGCTTCCCCAGCTGCCCTGCCGGGAGCCGCACAGTTTGGTCACCTCTGGACTAAACTGGATAATGCAGTATCATGCATCCTGAATAGGGCTGCCAAGCCGCGACGGGGGATCCGCACGTCTTCACAGGATTCCTGCCGCGGGGGACAGCGATATGCGTTGCACCGCCGTCACTAGGATGTGACGCTATGCGTTGCTCTGGCAATGGGACTCCAAACAGCCCCGTTGCCAGAGCGACGCGTAGCGTCACATCCTGGCGACGGCGGTGCAACGCGTATCGCTGTCCCCCGCGGCAGGGATCCTGTGAAGACGTCCGGATCCCCCGCCGCAGCTTGGCAGCCCTAATCCTGAAACAAACAGTGAGAAAAAAGTCGTGAGAGTCTGACCCACAAGTCAAGATAGTCAACAAGACTTACAAAGAAAATATTTTCTATATATTGTTGCCAATAAACACTACATAACAATAAACAAATGCCATCAGATCATAAGAAAATCCTTGTATACGAATGCATCAACATCGTCTCCGGATTTTAGAACAACGTTTCAAAAAACAGATCTTCCTCATCAAATATTCTATAAAGTCGTACAAGAGCTTTCATGCTCATGAAGTGTTATAAGAATCGGGGGAAATAATGCATTTAGTGGTAGGACGCTGGTCTCAAAAGTATTCAGGCTGCAAACATGCTACTCAGTTCTCAGGCATCTTCAGCATACGTACCTTTCAACAATGTAGAAAGCTGTTAGAAAATAACCTCTGTGTGGTAGGAATGACTGTACAGAGAACAAAACCCTATTCATAAGCAGTGTAGACTACAAAGCAGGGCTGGTCAAATGTGGCCACAAGAACTCCTATGCAAGCCCCGTGGGAATAAACAGCACATTTATTTCAATATCTTCACTCATCTCTATTTATTATATGGGTACATGCAGGATACATTCTCAGCTGATGGCCGCAGTAGTCTATATTTATGCTCTGATCCAATCGTCATGATCCTCCCCGACCCGCTCGGAATCCCCAGGGAAGGAGCAACGGTTGGCGACTGAGGAGGGCCAGAGGGACGACGGAGGGCCTGGCACTGCAGAGCCACCTGTGGACAGCGCCTCCTCAATGCCAGGGGCCACCCTTCCAAAGCCCGTGGGGGAAACCTCGCCACCAGCCCCGGAGATAATCACCAGGCCTCTGCCATGCTGGACTAGAGCCTGGCCCTGGAGCCCCCCAGGACCCTCTCCCAATCTGCAGGAACATCTGAACCAAAGTGGCACAGAGGAGGCAAAGTACCAGGTTGGCTGCACACAACCCCATGGTGCAGGTAGAAGAGGAGAAGAAGAGATTGGATTTATACCCAATTCACTACCCAAGGGAGTCTCAGAGAGGCTTACAAACTCCTTTCCCTTCCCCTCCCCACAACGGCCACCCCTGTGACGCAGTGTTCTCTCTAAGTTGAGTTAGTGTGAGCTAGCTCACAGTTTTTTAGCCTCCGGCTCACACATTTTTCTCTTAGCTCAGAAAGAATGGGTCCAGAGCACACTAGTTTATGCAGTAGCCAAATCCCTCACTCACAACTTTAACACCAGTAGCTCAGAAAGTAGAATTCTTGCTCACAAGACTCCACAGCTTAGAGGGAACACTGCCTGTGAGGTAGGTGGGTCTGAGAGAGCTCTGACAGAAACTGCTCTTTTCCAACGACAGCTGTGCCAAAACCATGGCTTGCCCAAGGTGCAAGTGGAGGAGTGGGGAATCAAACTCGGTTCTCCCAGATTAGAGCCCGTGCACTTAACCACTACTCCAAACTGTCTCTCAAAGCAATGCGCTGAGAGTGATTCTTTGCAGGATCCTGGCCAGTGCACAGAGCTGCCTCAGGAACTCCAGCCCCTGTCAGCAATGCTGCTGGGCCCAATCACCTCCCAGCCTCTATAAGCCCGGTCCTGGGAAGACACAGCCTTGCAAGATCAACCCGTTCACAAAGCCATAGCCCTTCACCTTGCCTGCCAGATGCCGCTCTAGACGCTGCGCGTTCCTGCACACCAGACCCTGCTCAGTGATCATCTGCAGCTAGAGCTGGAACAGCAATTAAGGAGATATATGTGCAGACACTCCTCCACTTGCACCTGCTGGATTACCTTGGGCAAGCCATAGTTCTGTCAGAGCTGTCCTTGAAAAAGAGCAGTTTCTGTCAGAGCTCTCTCAGCCCCACCTACCTCACAAGGGTGTCTGCTGTGGGGAGGGGAAGGAGTTTGTAAGCTGCTCTGAGGGAGAACATCAGGGCCCTGCAGGACCTCTTACAGTTCCGCAGGGCCTGTAAAACGGAGCTCTTCCACCAGGCCTTCGATTAGGAGCTGCCACTGACAAAATGAGCCATCGGAACATCTAATGGCCCTTATGACACACCGTGGGATACTGCCTTCTCTTATCGGATTATGAATAGAAACCGCTGCCAGTTGTAGAGTCTATATCAGTTTATTATGTTGTTCATGTGATTTTATTGTATTTATTGTTTTATCCTATTTTAGCTGTGTATGCCGCCTTGAGCCAGCTTGTCTAGCTAGGCAGGATATAAATTGAAAGTAATAAATAAATAAATTCTTCTTTGAGGGTGGGGGAAATTATGTTCTGTGGGCATAAAACCTTGTGCCCATGGAAATGTTGGTCTGGATCCAAGCTACTGGATGCAGGAATCTGCAGAACTCACATACATGTACCCATGAATCTATACACATGAAGCTGCCTGGTATTGAATCAGACCCCTGGGACTCCATCAACGTCAGTATTGTCCACTCAGACTGGCAGCTGCTCTCCAGGGTCTCAGGCTGAGGGCCTTCACATCACTTACAACCTGGTCTTTTTAACTAGAGATGCCGGTGATTGAACCTGGGATCTTCTGCATGCAAAGCAGAGACTCTTCCACCGAGCCACATCCCCTCTCCAACTCAGTGTGCTGACAAAACAGCATGCTTGCTAAATCCTGGCATCACTTAAACCTCTGACATAAAAATACAAAGATATTTTACAGAAAACATAGATGTCTCGGAAAGAACTTAACAGAAAGGTTGGGAAACAATGGGACAGAAAAATTAACGGCTGATCTCCAAAAAGCCACTGCTCAGGCCAGAAAAACCTCACCCCAAACCTATTACATGCTCTCATAACAAACTTCTGTGGTGCTCACAATACACAAATTGCTTTACGGTAATTACTTTGTCTTCGAAAGCTTGTAAAATGCTGTAATGGCCCGCTTATGCTGCTAGTAATTTTTCCCATTTTTGCATTCTTATTCTCTTTGTAAACATTCTCTTTTACTGAGTAAGATTCCCCAGACATGCTTGTCACATTCTGGCGGCATCCTTCCCCAGAAGACGGCCACCTGAGTGACAGAGAACAACATCCTTAGTTTGTGAAGTCCAAACCCTTTTTCTCCAAACTTTGAGCACTGACCATTGGCTATTCCTCTCTAACAAGGGAAACGTTAGCTGTCCATCAAGGTGACCCCCCCCCCCTCCGAGTCCAAGGTAAGAGGTGGGAGCTCTGTATCCTCTGGTAAAATCCAAGAACAGAGGAACTTCCATGCGTTTCTCCACTGGAGCACTCAAAAGGGCTGGTTTTGCTTCTGCAAAGCGGTATCCACCCCAGGCCATGGGTGGAGGCACTCAGGATTTTTTGGAAATGAAATAAGTGCAATTTACTAGGGATCAGTATAGTTAGCCAGATTAGTGTTTCTTTTCCTTTGCAGTGCAAGCACTGCATTCCATTCCATATTTTCCTCCGCTACCCTTGGATCTTTTCAAGCAATCCTTGCTCATGCTTTCTCCCTTTTGCTTTTCCCAACAAAACTCCTGCCGGGAACACTTCATTTTTTTCTTTCAGTACTTTTCCAAGAGATGCACCTCAGCTTGGTGTAGTGGTCAAATGTGCGGATTCTAACCTGGGAGAACCGGGTTTGATTCCCCACTCCTCCACTCGCAGCTGCTGGATGACCTTGGGCAAGCCATAGTTCTGATAAATGCTGTCCTTGAAAGAGGCAGTTTCTGTCAGAGCTCTCTCAGCCCCGCCTACCTCACAGGGTGTCCGTTGTGGGGAGGGGAAGGGAGAGGAGTTTGTAAGCTGCTCTGAGACTCCGAGTGAAGGGTGGGGTATAAATCCAATCTCTTTTTCTTCATCAACAAAGTATTTCCAAGTTGGAGGGTCAGAAAGGACCTCTATCCCCTCCATCTGTAGTCTCCAGGGAACAACAGCAACTTGAGCTTATAACTGGTAAAGACTCTGGAGGAGAAGGAATCATTTCACTCTTTGGCTATTCCATTTACCACAAGCACTACTGTTTATTTCTCTAGAGATCAATGTACAGGGAGGGGCAGTGGCTCAGTGGTAGAGCATCTGCTTGGCATGCAGAAAGTCCCAGGTTCAATCCCTGGCATCTCCAGTTTAAAAAATCTAGGCAGTGAGTGATGTGAAAGTCCTCTGTTGTAGAGCTGCTGTCAGTCTGAGTAGACAATACTGACTTTGATGGACCAAAGGTCTGATTCAATATAGGGCAGGTTCATGTGTTCATCTGTACGTGACACCTGTTACAGGGTAAGTAAACAGGTTCCCTGCCCCAAAGAATTTGCTGTCTAAATTTCAGTAGGGGTAGTTACAACCAGGGGTCATTTAGTAGAAAAAGAGGTGCAGGAGCTCATTAGCATAACTTATTTGCATATGCCACACCCCCTGACATCACCGGAAGTGTGCCAGAAGGCAACACCTACCGCTCAGGCTCCACAGGACTGTTTTGGATTGCTAGCTATGGGGGGGGGGATGTGCAGATCTGTCCTTGCAGAGGAGGGACAGCTTGTACCTGAATAAAACTTGGTCTTAAAGGTGCCACTGGACTGTTTTGGATTGCTAGCTATTGGTGGTGGTGGGGAACGTGCAGATTTGTCCCTGCAGAGGAGGGAGAGCTTGTACCTGAATAAAACTTGGTCTTAAAGGTGCCACTGGACTATTTTGGACCGGGGGGTAGGGGGAGCTCTGCAACTTACCAGGCTGCTTCTTGCTCTGACTAAGGGCTGCTGGGAGCAGGGGGTGGGGAAATGACCCCTGGTTACAACTGACCGGGATAGCACAGACTAGCCTGATCTCATCAGATCTCGGAAGCTAAGCGGAGTCAGCCCTGGTTAGTACTTCAATAAGAGACCACCAAGGAATACCAGGGTAGTGATGCAAAGGCAGACAATAGCAAACCACCTCTGTCTCTTGCCTTGAAAACCCTATGAGGTCGCCATAAGTCAGCAGCGACTTGACAGTGAAAATAACAACAACAGTTGCAACAAAGAGAGGAAAGTTACAAGGGTAAGAGAAAAGGGTACGAGTATGTGCCCAAATGTAGTATATACTCAAATATACAGTACATATTAAGCTGTGTCATCCAGAGTCAGACCACTGGTCCATCTGCCTTAGTGTTGCCAGTGCAGACTGTCGATGGTTCTCCAGGGTCTCGGGCACAGAAGGGTCTTAACTCTTTTCCAGCCTGAGGATGTTTACTTGAGCTGCAAGGAAATGAATGTGGGACATTGTACATGCCAGACATGTGACCTGCCACTGAGCCATAGCCCCACCATAATGTGTGTGCCTTGTTATTTCAGTTTGGTAGAATTCAGGCTGCAACTGTGACACAGCTGGGCTATGATCTGAACCCAGGTCCAGCTCTCTCATGTACACAATCAAGCAATGGCTTTTTCCACAGGCACAACGCCTCCCCCAGGTTTTCCATGCAGTACTATCGGTAACACTGCCTAACCATCTCATCCTTTGCCGTCCCCT